TTACCGTGATATGATCGGCCGCTCGGGCAAACAGCGCTCAGTGCCTGAGCTATAAGATACCCAACAGAGATTCTGTCCATTTGCTGCATACAGAACAGACTAATCCAGAATTTCCTTCTGTTCACAGCGCGAGCTGCAGCAGTCGGTATTGTCTGATCCGGATAATTAGTGTCCTCATGGTAACAAAGCAATTTTCTGTAATTTGCTAAATTAACATGCTGATGAAAGGAGCCTTGTGTTCAGTGAGCGGGGTCTCCTGTCCTGTGATAATCCAAAAAATAAGAGGGGACAGCCGTCTAGCTGCTGGTTTAAAGGGAATCTGTCAGGCCCTCATTTACCTGGCCACAGCTCAAGCACGCCCCTGCAGCCCAAAAATTAGCATTTTAACAGAGCTGGTGCAAAGGTTGCCCCCATCCAGGGGTACATCCAAGTATATAAGGATCACTGGCTCTGTAATTGCATTCCTGAGAGTCTGGGGCGTTCAAACATAGAGAGAGAGAGGGGCGCCTCTAAGTGTAGACATTTGTTGCAATTTCAATATTAAAGACAATTGACAACTGACATAGAAGTAGATATATAAGGCACATCTAAAGACGCCATTGGTCATCGTGACCCCTTGTCGATGGCATCTTCAGATGTGCCTCATGTACCTACTTCTATGTCAGTTGCCAATTGTCTTTAATATTAAAATTGCAATGAATGTCTACACTTAGAGGCGCCCCTCTCCCTCTCTCTGTATTTTATTTCAGCAGGAAGAGCATGAATGCCCCAGACTCCCAGGAATGCAGTTGCAGAGCCAGTAATCCTTTTATACTTGGCTGTACATCTTTTCTTTCTACATGCATACTGGAAGCTGCTTCCGTTTCTAATTAGAGGATGCTCTTAGTGGATGGACATTCATCTCCATATTAAAATGTTACTAAACCCACAAAAGTAAAATCAGTCTGTATATGCAGTAAAGCATGCTTGTTATACTCACTGTGGAACCTAAGGGGTTAATCCTCTGCATTGTATAAAAAGGCTTGTTGATCCTGTCTTCTCTGATCCTCCCCTTATTCTACTGTCTCCAATGCATATGCTGATATAACAGAGCCTTGGGGGCAAACTACACATGAGAGTTTTTTTTTTCTTGGGAGGGTGCATGTGATCAGCACAGGGCCAATCAGCACTGTCCAGATAGAGATGCAGCCTCATAGGGCAATCAGGGGAGAATGAAAACTCCTCCTACAAGCTTTAATCAGTGCTCAGCTGGACAATGATAAAAGTCATTATACTGCTATATACTGCTGATGAGAAAAGGTATTTAGCAGTTTATATTTACAAAAACAATTGCATTTCCATGTTGTGAGTACTGTGGGAGACCAGATACAGTGAATGCAGGGTCCGGGGAGACCAGATATAGTGAATGCAGGGTCCGGGGAGACCAGATCTAGTGAATGCAGGGTCCGGGGAGACCAGATCTAGTGAATGCAGGGTCCGGGGAGACCAGATATAGTGAATGCAGGGTCCTTGGAGACCAGATATAGTGAATGCAGGGTCCTGGGAGACCAGATATAGGAATGCAGGGTCCGGGGAGAGCAGATATAGTGAATGCAGGGTCCGGGGAGACCAGATATAGTGAATGCAGGGTCCTGGGAGACCAGATATAGTGAATGCAGGGTCCGGGGAGACCAGATATAGTAAATGCAGGGTCCGGGGAGACCAGATCTAGTGAATGCAGGGTCCGGGGAGACCAGATCTAGTGAATGCAGGGTCCGGGGAGACCAGATATAGTGAATGCAGGGTCGGGGGAGACCAGATATAGTGAATGCAGGGTCCGGGGAGACCAGATATAGTAAGTGCAGGGTCCGGGGAGACCAGATATAGTGAATGCAGGGTCGGGGAGACCAGATATAGTGAATGCAGGGTCCGGGGAGACCAGATATAGTAAATGCAGGGTCCTGGGAGACCAGATATAGTGAATGCAGGGGGGAGACCAGATATAGTGAGTGCAGAGTCCAGGGAGACCAGATATAGTGAATGCAGGGTCCTGGGAGACCAGATCTAGTGAATGCAGGGTCCGGGGAGACCAGATATAGTGAATGCAGGGTCCGGGGTTTAGTAACGCTTTAGCCCTGGATAGACTTCATCTGGTATATTGGGTTATGTTATCTTTTTACCTTTGGATGGACTTCATTACTTCCACTAAATCTCTGACTTTGGGTTGTGTATTCTAAAATTATTTACTTGCTCCTTCACTAGTTTATTTTTTGTGCTCTTCTTTTTGCTTTCTCCAAAAAAAATAAAATCTAGTGGAGAGGGTGGGAGCCCCTCATAAGGGTCACAGCACACCCAGAATCTCAAGTGCGGAGACCTCACCACTGCAGTCTATAGGACATATAAGATGTTGAAAGCCAAACTCTTGCACATTTGTACAGGCTTCTCTCTTAGATTAAAATTGCTTACTCTGATTTCACTGCACACTGTGAGCTCCTCACCATGTGCATTAGAAGCTGCACAAGTCAGATGGAGCCCACCTCATTTCCTGACTGGAGGACATCCAGCATCATCTCACCCTTTCTTCCTCGTCCTGACTGTCCCTGGCCTACCCCTTTCATTTATTAGTTTTCATTTAAATCATGGAGTCTCAGCATTACATTGGGGCATTAGCTAGGGCAAACTGCATGCAAAAACTACCTGCCTAGGAATGCCCACTTCTCCGGACTAATACCCATCACTGTTTGCATCAGAATTGGGAGCTCTTGAGAGAAGAACTGAGGCAGGACACTGTGATGTTTTCAGGAAGCTATCTACAGCACCCTGCCAGCCGATCCCACCAGTCCATGATCTGCATGCACTGCATAGAGAAGCACAGAGGCACAGCGATGGCATCACAAGGTCTAAAAAAAGGTATATAATGGAAACAGAAAGGCTTTATTAAAAAGTGTCAGTAGAATGTTGACGGGGGAGGGGGTGTACTAGGGAATACAAAATATAAGCATCGCTTATCAAACACTAAAATGTTATTTTTAAATGGTGTGCCCCATAAAACGCTGTTTGTCCTGCCTGACAAAGACTCCTCTGTCTGGCCTCAGTATAGTATTTTCATAGGCCAAGTTTTTGAAAAATTGTTATATAAAACGTAATCTGTTCCTCTCTCGACAAAACTTGTGTTCTGTTCCTCTCTCAGAGCTTGAAGGACCTCAGAAAGATTCCTCCACAAACCCAGGAAGAGGGAGAGCCTTCTCCAGAGATATTTTCCTGGATGTCTCCTGGTCTGTCTTCTCAGGTAATTCCAGGGTCAGGATTTGGTCAGGGATTGGTTGCTGGATATTGTCCAATGTAGCCCCTTTTTCAGCATCGCGCAGTGCTTCCTCCATCTTTGTAGACAGTCCTGGAGGTGCAGTGACACCATCTTCCAGAGTGGACTCCTCCGGGATCCGAGGTGTGTTCACGCGGCTGGCTTCGGATAGAACATTGCTGGATAAAGACTGGAAGAGGAAAAACACACAAAACCTAATAAATCTAAACATTAGAAAGAGACATAGTCTATCAAGAACACTTTGGGCCATGACGCAGAAAGGAAGATTTACTAAAACTGGAGCACTCAGAATCTGGAGCAGCTATGCATGGTAGCCAATCAGCTTCTAGCTTCAGCTTGTTCAATTGAGATCAGGCACTGATGTTGGACTAGAAGGCCTGGCTCACAGTTTCCACTCTAATTCATCCCAAAGGTGTTCTATGGGGTTGAGGTCAGGACTCTGTGCAGGCCAGTCAAGTTCCTCCACCCCAAACTCACTCCTCCATGTCTTTATGGACCTTGCTTTGTGCACTGGTGAGCAGTCATGTTGGAACAGGAAGGGGCCATCCCCAAACTCTTCCCACAAAGTTGGGAGCATGAAATTGTCGAAAATGCCTTGGTATGCTGATACTTTAAGAGTTCCTTTCACTGGAACTAGGGGGCCAAGTCCAACCCCTGAAAAATAACCCCACACCATAATCCCCCTCCACCAAACTTTACACTTGGCACAATGCAGTCAGGCAAGTACCGTTCTCCTGGCAACAGCCAAACCCAGACAGTCCATTGGATTGCCAGAGAAGCATGATTGGTCACTCCAGAGAACGTGTCTCCACTGCTCTAGAGTCCAGTGACAGCGTGCTTTACACCACTGCATCCGACGCTTTGCATTGCACTTGGTGATGTAAGGCTTGGATGCAGCTGCTCAGCCATGGAAACCCATTCCATGAAGCTCTCTACGCACTGTTGTTGTGCTAATCTGAAGGCCACATCAAAGTTTGGAGGTCTTTAGCTATTGACTCTGCAGACAGTTGGTGACTTCTGTGCACTGTGCGCTTCAGCATGCGCTGACCCCGCTCTGTCATTTTACGTGGCCTACCACTTGGTGGCTGAGTTGCTGTTGTTCCCAGTTGCTTCCACTTTGTTATAATACCACTAACAGTTGACTGTGGAATATTTAGTAGCCAGGAAATGTCACAGATGGACTTATTGCACAGGTGGCAACCTATCACAGGACCACGCTTGGGTCACTGAGCTCCTGAGAGCGACCCATTCTTTCACAAATGTTTGTAGAAGCAGTCTGCATGTCTAGGGGCTTGATTTATACTCCTGTGGCCATGGAGGGGTTGGAACACCTCAATCCAATGATTTGGAGGGCTGGCCCAATACTTTTGCAATATATTGTATATGGTGCACAAATTGCGACATTTATGAGATATTTCACAAATAGGGATTATCCCATTTCTGACACGTCACATTCTACAGGCACATATATTGTAAATCATTGCTTATTTGCTGCACTATTATGTTGTGTTGTATGTTATCCTCTTTATATTGTGTGATGGTCAGGTGTTCCCCAGACACTTGCTCATGTAGTGGACTATCCAGTAGTCCCCACCTGTAGCCCTGAGCCCAGACTGCTGTCCACTTTCTTCCTGCGGGACATGTTGGGGTTCCAGTGGCAGACCAAGCTATCGTTCTGCACGCTGTAGTTCTTGTTTCCCAGCAGCCAGTAGGTCTTCATCTTCCCTTTACCCTGCATGACAAGCAGAGGGTTACGTAAGGGGTGACAATGGGGATCAGAACTGTTTTATCAGCTTAAAAGGCAGATGACCCCTTTATGCCGTAGTATTCATCATTTATGACATGTTCCAGAATATTTTATTCGACAAAACAATTTTCAGAGCTTCCTAATATACCTTATACATATGCCCTGTGTATCTCAGTTCTACATCCACCTTCCTTCCAAACTCCCTCAACTTTCCTTTTAACTCTAGTTTCCCCCTCAACCCAAGACTCCACTCTTCCCCTACCTGACAGGATTCCTCTCCATCATGACGTTCCTCCTTTTTTGTCCTCTGGCCTTATACCATTCTTCCCTTGCTCAACATCTCTCCCCTCCTTGCCTGACACCACTCCTCTCCTGATAGATAACACTCTTTCCCTGCCTGGCACCACTTCACACCTGCCTGACACATTTCTTCCTCTGCTTGACACTACATCTCTCCTATCTAAAGCCACTCCTTTCTACCGGACACTACTCATCTGCCTGACAACTCTCATCCCCTGCCTGACAACTCTCATCCCCTGACCTGCACCACTCCTCTCCTGCCAGAAAACACTCCTGTCTGACATCACTTCACACCCGCCTTCCTTCCCATGAAACTTGATATTGCTCCTCTCTCCTGAAACCTCACTCTTTCCTACCTGACACCCTGACTCCTTGCCTACTTGAAACACACTTCTCTCCTGTAAACCTGACCCGACACCACTCCTTGCCTGCTCTCATCCCCTGCCTGTGCCTGACACCACTCTTTTCTTGTCCATACAGCTTCTCTTCTCTGACTGTCTGCCAAAGCTCCTGACACCACTCCTTCCTGCCAACATCGCTCTCTTCCCTGCCTGACACTACGCCTGCTCTTCTTCTGGACTGTCCTACAAACCTTCCTTTCACCCAACACCACTGTCTGACAACATTGTTCTCTCTCCTGTTGTCCTCTGAAACTTGCCTTTCCACCTGAAACTGCCTTCAACATGCTTCCTCCTGCCTGAAACCTTGCCTTTCCACCCGACACCACTCCTTGCCTGCCAACATCGCTTCTCTCCTGCCTGACTGTCCTGCCTGAAACCTTGCCTTTCCACCCGACACCACTCCTTGCCTGCCAACATCGCTTCTCTCCTGCCTGACTGTCCTGCCTGAAACCTTGCCTTTTCACCTGACACTACTCCTTGCCTGCCAACATCGCTTCTCTCCTGCCTGTCTGTCCTGCCTGAAACCTTTCCTTTCCACCCGACACCACTCCTTGCCTGTCAACTGAAACCCCTCTTTCCTTTCCACCCGACACTGTCCTGCCTGAAACCTTGCCTTTCCACCCACCCGACATCACTCCTTGCCAGCCAACAACATCGCTTCTCTCCTGCCTGACAGTTCACTTCCCCTGTTTGACACTGCTCCTCACCTACCTAAAACCCCTCTTTCCTGCCTGACACCACTCCTTGCTTGCTTGATCTCACCCCTCACCTGCCTGACAAATCTCATCTCCTGCCTGACACCACCCCTATCTTGCCCACGCTACTCCTCACCTGCCAGAAAACCCAAACAATCTTTTTTTGCCTGCCTGACACCACTGCTTTCCTGCTGGACTCCTCTTCACACCTGCCTGACATATTTCTTTTTCTACTTGATGTTACTCCTCTCCTGCCTGAAACCTCTCCTTCCTGTTTAACACCTCTCCTTGCCTGCTCAACATCACTCCTCTCGTGCCTGACAATGCTCTTCCTCTGTCTGACACCACTCTTCTGTCTGACACCACTACTTTCTACCTGACATCGCCTCTCACTTACCAATTATCATCAATAACAGGCATATCATCCTGTCCCAAATTAAGGGTCCCTTCCCATCTTCAGAGACTGGATATTTAATTGAAAAGTTCCTTCAGCATGTTGCAAAAGGATGCAGTAAGCGCAAGTCCTTGTCAGAGGATTGAGTAAATGAAGCCTTAACCCCTTTCCACCACTGCCACTGGCCCTCAAAGATCTGAATGTCGGGAGGAGGAGGACTTCCCAATTGTGTGATCACTGGGATTGGTTGTCATCAGATTGACAGCTTGAACACTGGGAATGCACAGTGAGCACTCTCCGCATAGAAAATCTGCCTCATGGATGCATATGTGCTCTGGCTTGGCATTAAGGCCCAGGTGCCACATTTCTATGCATAAGGCCGCCAGAAACAGATTAAGAGATGTTTATTTTTTTCACTACTGCTAATTGGGTTTTATTAGTATAGATTTTTTGTAGGACTTTTTCTTGTCTAAATATTAGGTTAAAGAAAGTGATGGGCACATTGTGGAATATATTATAGATTACATCACCTTCACTTCAATCTCTCCGCGAGGCTCAATCTCGTAGGCGTTGTCGATGATGAGCGCCTGGTAGGTAACTGAGCTGATGTGGATTTTCTGTGCTGTAGAGCAGAACAATTACTAAGTAAAAATCATCATGGTGAATTGTTACGTAGTTACACAGTTACCTCTAACCATTGACACCTGCTCTAAAAATAATCCCCCACTCTCCAGCAGCTGTATTTCACACAAACATGTGCTTAACCCAATATAACTCGCAGTATATGGCGTTCCTATAGTGAATCATCTGCAAATAAATTAACCTATAAATTCATATTGAACAATAATGCACCACTGTGTGCTACAACACAGGTGCATGGTCCTTAGTGTGTTGATCTGCCATTCAGGAGAATGGCACCACAATGCAGTAATGCATTTTATATGTGTCATCTCAAGGCTTTAGTGTAAATCAACCTTTTGTGTTCTTTGTATTTTTTTCCCTTATTTAGTGTGGTTGATTAGATTATTTATTTATGTATGTCCTTTTTCTTTTTTTTAACTGTTTGTTTTATTCTTTCTGTGAAAAAAATGAAATAATGATCAACCACACTAAATCAGCCATACTTCTTCTAAAGTTTTTTTCTGTTATGGCATTTAGGGGTACAATGGGGTTTAAAATGGCTCCTGAGTGTCACACAAGCCTATTTCCACCTATCCTTTACCTGTGTCAAAACAACAGCCACCATTTTAAACTGCATTGTACCCCTAAATGCCATAACAGAAAAAACCTTAGGAGATGTATGGCCAAAGCTCTTTGATTCAGCAGACAGTGGGCTAAAGTCCACTGTCGGTTGATATCACAGAGCCAGTCCAGGCTCTGCAGGGATCCCAACAATATAGTAGGGATTCACTCAGATGCCTGACTGGCAATTGGCTCAGCCTCTCATCACGTGAGCCAGTCACTCCTTTCACCCCCCACACACACACACACAATCTGGAGCTCTAGTGAGCGTTGGAGGGGCAGGGCAGAGAGCCAAAAACTAGAGCTCAGAGCAGACCCAAGAACTAGCGGCCAGTGATCTTTGATCGCTCAGTTCTCAGTGTAGAACCAGAGGGGGACAGCTACAGCATTGGATCAATGCTGAAACCATCTAGGCTTGTATGTTTGTTATTTTACATTCCGCCACTTTTCTTTTAATTTTGCCTTCCCTAAAATCTCACAGTTTTCACATAATTTTGGTAAATAAAATTTCTCAACTTTGCTCATTCCTTCAGGCAGCTTCTGCCTGAAGCTTCATACACAGGCATTGTGTATAAAAAGACATACGTAGGCTGGTAGACTCCATCCGAGAAGCCGTGTTCACGGTGTCTCCAAACAGGCAATAGCGCGGCATCTTATGCCCAACAACACCGGCCACACAGGGCCCTAAAAAGAGAAGCGCATTGTCATCATTTTTCATGACTAAATATAAAATATACAATACATAAGAGTGCTAAATATAATGATGAGGATCCGTGATAATTCTCCATTATATCTTTTTAATATAATACCGGCCACATGTTGAGATCACGTTTCATTTGAGTATTTTTTCTCAAAAGGGTTTTTTTCTTTTCATAAAAATGTTTCCACATACCTGCAATGTATTTATATATTTTTAAACATAGTATAGCACGGTAAAGCCTTCTTTAAGCAGATGGTATTAACATATCTCATTCCATCACTTATCCCACAAATAAGAGGATTACTCCTTATTTTAGGACGGGACAGAGCCATGTCAATCATTCCTTCGCTGCAGGAAAATTGCACCAGAGCAGTGTGAAAGGGGCCTAAGATAGGATGATAGAGCCCCTTCCCCTCTTTCTATCTCCATAGCATAAGAGAGAGGTGTTCTGTAGTCCACAGAGTGAAAAAGGAAGAGCTGCAGAGAGCACCAAATGTAATCAGCTCACTGGATTTCTGGCAGAACCAGGGGCGGACTGACCATTTGGAAACTCGGGAACTGCCCGAGGGCCCGGGGTCAGTAGGGGGCCCCATGAGATGCCCCATGGTACCTTTTTCATAGGCTTTTTTGAGTTTGGGCAAGGGCACAGGGGCCCCATGATCCCCTATTGCCTAGGGGCCCCATGAGTTGTCAGTCTGCCCCTGGGCAGAACCAACAAGTATTTTGTTGCACCTAGTGAGCAGATAATACAAAACACTCCCAACTGTATATTCACTAGTTCTTTGCTAGGATTTTCTTTACTTTAAGAGAAATTACCAAAATGGTATAACTCACACTAAGATTGGAATATGTGGAATTTTGCTGTGCTTTCTTGAAATATGCAAATTAAAGACAGACATTATTGCTTCTAACTAAGAAAGGGGCACACGCAGTAGCCGATGTGCAGGACAGGCTGCATAAACTGGCTGGGAACAATGACAGCCTGCAACGTAAGCAGAATAATACCAGCACAAACAGGATCCAGGAGATGGATATATTATAAATCCACACAGGTTTCATATAACAGCCACCGCCACCTCGCCTGCCAGGAGAATGATCGAGAAACCGTTCAGGCAAAAAAAATCCTATTAATAAATTTCTGAGAGCTGCAGAGGCTCCTGAAAAGAAGATCCAGAGAAAGTGTTTTTATATATTGGGTTAAAGTTTTTTATAAAGAGGAAGAGAGAAGGAGAGAAAGAGAAAGAGGGGAGGGAGAGTGAGACAGAGAGAGAGAGAGCAGAGAAGAGAGAGACAGAGATAAAAAGAGAGACAGAGAGAGTAGGGAGATATAAAGAGAGCAAGACAGGGAGAGAGTAAAGAGAAATGAGAAAAGAAAGGGCAGCAGAAAAGAAAAGGTTAGATGAAAGGAAATGAAATGAAATAAAAAGAAAAAGGCAAAGAAAGGAAAGAAAAATAAAAAGGCAAGGAAAAAAAGAAAAGAAAAAGGTAAAAAAAGAAAAGATAAAGGGGAAAAAAAGAAAGAAAAGGAAAAGGGGGAAAAAAAAGAAAAGAAAAAGAAAAGGGAAAAAAAAAGAAAAGGAAAAGGGAAAAAAAAAGAAAAGGAAAAGGGGGAAAAAAGAAAAGGAAAAGGGAAAAAAGAAGGAAAAGGGAAAAAAAGAAAGGAAGGGAAAAGGGAAAAAAAAGAAAGGAAAGGAACGGAAAAGGAAACAGGGAAAAAAGGAAAAGGATAAGGAAAGGAAAAGATAAAGGAAATAGGAAAGGAAACGGAAATGGGAAAGGAAAGGAAAAGAAAAGAAATGGAAAGGACAGGAAAGGAAAAGAAAGAGAGAAAAAAAAGAAAGGAAAAGGGGAAAGGAAACAGGGAAAATGATAAAGGAAAGGAAAAGGATAAGGAAAGGAAAGAATAAAGGAAATAGGAAAGGAAAGGAAAAGGAAAGGAAAAGAAAAGGAAAAGGGAAAAAAAAGAAAGGAAAGGGAAAAAAAAAGGAAACTGTCAGGAACCATCGCGACGCATGGGTCTACACATGCATAGGTGTCTGCCGAGACGTATAGGTGGCAGGGCACTAGGACCCAGGCGCACCCGTCGTCTGGACAGTACTAGGCAGGCACTGGGACCCAGGCTACGCCTGTCAGGTGCAGGGCGAGCTATTTAAACTAGCCCTGCACAGACACTTGTTGCCGAATGGTCTTTGTATCCTGTTACCTGTGTGTGAGTACTTCTGATCTGGATTGGTTTGACCTTGTTGTCTTCTCCCGTCCTGACCCCTTGGCTTGCCTGACTCTGCTCCTGGATGTTCCCGTTTAGATCTGACCTCCTGGTATTGACCCTGCGTGTGACCCGACTATCCTTTGCCTACCATTTTGTAACCGATCCGCTAGTTACCGACCCGGCCTGCATGACTCTGATTTAGCTCATCCATCCACCCACCCCCCCGCAGGGATCACTAGGCTCCCTTACATCAGACTCCTAGCTCTCTGGAGCCCCTGTCAGACTCCTCTACCCCTGTTGGAGATACCTGGTAGTTGCGACCTAGTACCGGAGCGCTCCAAGTCCATCCCCACCATCAGAGGCCCTGGTGAACAAGTGCTCCGGTGCTTAGACTCCGCACTCTGGGGAGGCTCTACCGGGGGACTGATAGAGGTGCTGTCAGGCGGTCCGTTACAGAAACAGAGAAAATGATAAAGGAAAGGATAAACAAAAGGAAGCAAGGAAAATAAAAAAGGACAGGAAAGGAAAAGGAAAGGATAAAGGAAATGGGAAAGGAAAGGGGAAAGGAAATGGGAAGGGAAAGGAAAAGGAAAAGAAAGGAAAGGATAAAGGAAATGGGAAAGGAAAGGAAAAAGAGAAAGGATGAAAGGAAATGGGAAGGGAAAGGAAAAAGGAAAGGGGAAAGGAAATGGGAAGGGAAATGAAATGGAAAGAAAAGGAAAGGGAAAAAAAAGAGAAAAGAGAAAGGAAAGGGAAAGAAAATAGCCAAAGAGCATGTAAGAAAAAGGGCAGAACAATTCCATGGACAGATGTGAATGTGATTGTCACATTTTCTGGACAGCTGGGCTTATTGCAGGAAGCAGAATAATAACAGACCTACTAGAAAGAAATCAGGTAATACGGAGTGCTCAGGAAAACAAAGTCTGTTGTGTCTATGCTGCGGACAGACTGTATCATATATTTAATTTTTCATTTTGCCAAAGAAAGGAAATAAGATGGGAAAGGAAAAGTAAACAGGGAAAATAAAAAAGGAAAGGAAAGAGAATGGAAATGAAAGGGAAAGGAAAGGAAATGGGAAAAGAAAAAGGAAAAGGAAGGAAAGGAAAGCTAAGGAAAGAGAAAGGAAAGGAACAGGGAAAGGGGAAAGGAAAAAGGAAATAGGAAGGGAAAGGAAAGGGAAGGAAAAGGGAAGGAAAGGGAAATTAAAGGAAAAAGAAGAGAAAAGAGAAAGGAAAGGGAAAGAAAATAGCCAAAGTGCATGTAAGAGAAAGGGCAGAGCATTTCCAATTCCATGGACAGATGTGAATATGATTGTCACATTTTCTGGACAGCTGGGCTTATTGCAGGATGTAGAATAATAACAGACCTACTAGAAAGAAACCTGAAAAAATGCATGCGCCAAAACATGTTATACCGGCAACTGGCCTCCTCCTCCTAAGCTGCGGCTCCAGCGTGGGTTCCTCCCCTTCGTCTCCCTGACATCGCGGTGACTTCTCCCGGGACTCTGGAACGTCAGGACCACGCGGTCCCTGCTCTGACAGGAGTTCATCTCCGCCACTGCTCCCCTCTTAGCGGATGGGCCGTCCATCTGGAAACTTGGCGTCTTAAAGCCACAGGCTTGTGTTTTTATCATATTACACTGTGATGTTTTATTACAGGCACACCTCCATACAAGGTGTTTTATATGATCACAAACTCCACAACGCCTGGCTCTTGTCAATACTGGGTGATACACTTATGTGTTTTACTATGGCAGCAGTGAGTTTATATCATTGATGACAGTTGACATTATTCACCATTTTCTTTGGGGAACATCTGTGCTCTTATGTCAACAGTGTTCTACTAGAAAGAAATCAGGTAATACAGGATGCTCAGGAAAACAACTATGCTGCGGACAGACTGTATCATATATTTAATTTTTTTTTTTGCCAAGGAAAGGAAAGAAAATGGGAAAGGAAAAGGAAAGGAAAGGAAAGGGAAGGGAAAGGGAAAAGGGAAAACAAAAAAGGAAATGAAAGAGAATGGAAAGGAAAGAAAAAGGAAAAGAAAAAGGAAAGGAAAGGAAAGGGAAGGGAAAAGGAAAAGGGAAAACAAAAAAGGAAATGAAAGAGAATGGAAAGGGAAAGGAAAAGAAAAAGGGAAGGGAAAGGGAAAAGAAAGGGAAAGGAAAAGAAAAGGGCAGAGCATTCCCAATCCCATGGAGAGATGTGAATGTGATTGTCACATTTTCTGGACAGCTGGGTTTATTGCAGGAATTAGAATAATAACAAACCTACTAGAAAGACATCAGATAATACATTTTTTTCAAGGGGACCGGGGTGCTCAGGAAAACAAAGTTTGTTGTGAATATGCTGTTGACAGACTGTATCATATATGTCATTTTTTATTTTGCAGACTAAAATGAACCTGCGCTGCAAGAAATGCTGAGAATGCCATTCTTGGTCCCTTTCTGGAGACTGCTAATTGACTGCTAATTGGCTGCCCCTGGGCCCTGGCTATAAACATTTCTGAGTAACTGCCCCAGAATAGGAATTACAATATGAAATACAAAATTTCTAACCTTCATAATCATTCTGGATCTGCAGCTCAGAATAAAAACTGAAGCCGTTAGATCAGCATGATAGCCAAGTACAGGTAATTTCCAGAGGAATTCTCTGAAATTTCCTTTAATATTGTAAATGTTTCTGAGTATGGACAGGTTTTTCCGAATATTGTAGATTGATGATGTGTGGTTACGTTTCTGACACACGGGCGTATCTGGCGGCTCTCCCCTGGCTGCGTCTCCTGTACACGTCTCCCTTCTATAAATCCTGGCTGGCACAGTGCAGCTCAGCTCCATTTGTTATACTCATCACACATACCCGTATGGATTCCAGCTCTCAGCTTCAGCCTCTCATTTGGCATGTGCGGGATGATCACTTGCCTAACGGCAGCCACCAGGTCCAGGGACATCTTAGCTATTTCATCTGCGTGCTTGTCATTGCTTCTCTCCGGCAGACCGCTGACCACCATATAAGCATCGCCGATTGTTTCTACCTGTGCCAGGAAAAGAGAATATTGATGGATCCTCTAAACTTTCTTTGCATCTAAACTGGCCATATGATAAATCACTACTGAACTGTGAAAGAAGCTTACAGCCAATATGCATTTATCTAAAAAGTGGACCTTTCATTGGCTTTAGAAGTCTGCAGAAATTCCCAACATGTCACAATATACAGTAATAGTATCATTTTGTAGAAGTGTGCCACCTTTTATTGTTCAAAAGCTGCCCTTGAGCTCCAGTCCAGTGACTTTGCCAAGGTTTAGATCAGGGGTGTCAAACTGGTGGCCCTCCAGCTGTTGCGAAACTACAAGTCCCATCATGCCTCTGCCTTTGGGAGTCACGCTTGTAACTGTCAATCTTGCAATGCCTCATGAGACTTGTAGTTTGGCAACAGCTGGAGGGCCATCAGTTTGACACCTGTGGTTTAGATGATGTCAGCAGTCTACTGCAGGCAAAAGGAAGCATTTCCTCAGTCTCCTCTCCCCCCCCAGTAATCAGACTGTACATTGCAACTTTATAGCCAGTCACAAGAGAAGATGCTGCAGCAGGGGCTGATCTGTGTCAGACATTTGTAAAAACAAGAACTGCACAGATACCAGGATTTACATGACTGTGTCATCTCTGAGCCAGCATCTCAGCCCAGGAAGTAAGTGATGACCCCGGATGATGCCCCAACAAAGATGGTGCCATCCTTCTGGAGCAAAAAAAAGGTGAAGACATTGTCAGGGGGAGTAATGTGTTCTCTGAGAGGTAATAAATATATAAATAATCCTGCTAGGGCACCAATATGGCATAAAAGAAAGCAGCTAGCACAATATTGCAGGTACAATATAAAAATAGCAGTGCGGTGCTCGTATAATCAAAATATAAAATAGCAGTGCAACACTAATAAGAGAGGTAACAAATACCTGGAAGCATTACAGTGACACATCACTTAGCAGCCATGGCCGTAATATAGAAAAATCTATGGGATTTTAGGACTGCTTTAACCACTTGCCTACCAGATGATGTGCCTGTAGCACGAAAGGCCTAAGGAGGAGCTGTGCAGAGCGTGACGTCTTTTCGCCGCCGGAGCCACGAGGAGGCCCGGCGGCCATCTTTATTGGGGTCAGTACTGCTGTTTTTCACTTCTAATCAATGTTGTGATGTGCATACTGCCCTGTTCTGTTATTGACCAATAAAATTTATTCAAGAACATACTACACTATCTCTGGCACCTGTTTTTTGGGGCTCCTATGTGGAGCTATTACCCCCACAGAGAAGGTGCCTATACCATCCAGAGGAGGGATCATTACCATCAGTGTGGATTACCTGACTGACCTTAAGGGGACCTCTGGACCTGATTTGGAGTCCTTGATGACCCACCGTGAGAGGGATGCCCACCACCTGGTCTTTGATGGATCTGACATCTGGGATGTTTATTCCTACATGCGCATAATCCATGCGTTTCTGGTGAGTGCGCATTGCTATTATTTGAAGCAGTAAAATTCTGGAAGTTTTCATCAAATCCAGACAACACCCGCGGATATCGCATTGACTTTATACTGCCTTTAATTCATTTTTAGCGCTGCACTGTTATTATTTACATTTATATATACATATTTTAAAGGTATTGTGGTTACCTGGAGTGTTCAAGCTGCTGCATTTATTTAAGAGCGCTCACTACAATTTGTTTTACAATACTAAAATATGCATTTTTGATGGAAAATACTGTAAACCCCCCCAAATAAGTATATATTTTCTGAAAGTAGAGACAACGAAAAATAAACTGGTGGTAATTGCAATTTTCTGTCGCATGATAATTGCCCAGTTATTTATCAAGCTCATATTTTTTCAGGAAAAATACACTAAAATGAATTTCAATGTAAACAAACACAATATTATACCCAATTGCTAGTAAAATATAAAACACGGGGTTGAGTCCAGTAAATAGATACCAAACATGTCAAGTCTTACAATTGTGCATGCCTGTGGAATCACCAAAAAAAGCTCCAAAATTCTCCATAGGTGTTTAATAGCCTTTACAGGTCATCAGTTTAGAGTTAACTGTGTGCTGTGGACCTAGAATTAAAGCTCTGACTCCAATGTTCACAACAATACCTCACATGTGTGCGTGGGTGATGAGGGGCCATAACAATTTTTCAATCTTTATTTATTTATTTTACTTTAATGCTATTACAAGGGGACCAACAAGCCCCCGAAGTGATAGCATAGGCTGGTGACAGGTACTCTTTATGGAAACATTGGGGGTTTATTAGAACCCCAATGTCTCCCCTGTATTTCATTGCAGCTATTCAGGCACAGGTCATGTTTGAATAGCTGCATCCTTAGCTACACTAGCCAAGAAATGACACCTGTGACCCTCGGAAGTGATGTAATATACATTGCTTCAGGGGTCATTAGTCCCAGGATTGGGGAAAAAAACTTTTATTAGAAAAGCTCCTCACCAGCTCTTACAGCAGATACCAATCTCACAGATGCAGTGGCAGTTGTGAGCTTTATTTAACCACTTGTCTACCATGCTGTTTATAAACTTATCTTTGTAATACGGTTGCTGGAGGGGATCACTGTGGGACTTTATTGGACATTGGAGAGCTGAAGGCTCTGTAACAGGCTGGGGGTGGGGGGGTACTGTGGGAAGTTTGAGGGCTCTGTGGAGGCTAAAGAATTTTACAGGACCTTGTGGCACTGTGAGCCACTATGGGAGGTAGAGGGTACTTTGGGAGGCTGGGTGGTACTTTGGGAGGTTGAGGAGGTACTGTGGAGGCTGATGGCTCTCAGAAGGCCTTGTAGCACTGTGGGCCACTATGGCAGTTTGGAGGGTACTATAGGAGGTTGGGTGGCACTGTGGGAGGTTGGGGGGAGGTTCTTTGGAGTCTGAGGGCTCTCAGAAGGCCTTGTAGCATTGTGGGCTACCATGGGAAGTTGGAGGATACTATGGGAGGCTGGTTGGCACTGTGGGGGGTACTGTGGAGGCTGAGGGCTCTCAGAATGCTTTGTAGAACTGTGACCACTATGTAAGGTTGGAGGGTACTATGGGAGTCTGGGTGGCACTGTGGGAGGTTAGGGGTTACTGTGGAGGCTGAGGGTTTTTAGAAGGCCTTGGAAGACTGTGGGCCACTATGAGAGGCTGGGGGGCACTATGGGAGACTTGGTGGCACTGTGAGAGGTTGGGGGGGGCATTGTGGCGGCTGAGGGCGCGTAGAGGGCCGCATTGCACTGTGGGCCACTATGGGAGGTTTGATGATACGCTGGGAGGCTGGGTGGCTCTGTAGGAGGTTTGGGGAAAGGCACTGTGGAGGCTGAGGGTTCTCAGAGGGCCTTGTAGCACTGTGGGCCACTATGGGAGCTGGAAGCACTGTGGGAGGTTAAGGGATTTGCAGTTGGCTGGAGGGCCGGAAGAAGGGAAGCCCGGCCCCGGTGGTTGAGAACCTCAGCTTTAGTGCATATAGCATCTTATTGACCTTTCCTTTAAAGCAGGTTCCCTATACAATGTATCTTAGGATGGTTATATGTTTTGGCACACCTTATAGACATTGAACGATTCAATCCTGGTGTCAAAGCAGACATACAGATTATTTAGCATCTCTACCACCTGCAGAGGGGTGCACGAGGCCGATATGGAGGTGAAACCCACGACATCTGAAAAGAATATGGTAACCTAGGGGGGCAAGAAAGACCGAATATTTAATGCATGAAAGTGAAAACAAAATATAAAGCAGAACTCCAGGTAAACAGTTAAATGTACAGATAATACACAGACTTGTCATCTGCTTTACCTGCCGAAAGGCTCTGTAATTCTACACTGCATAACGGGGAGGGTGACACCATGCAGACAGCCCTAGATAACACCCATATGTTGTTCATTGGCTGCTATCTAAATTGTCCCTAGTATGTGTATGTATGAATGTGAGTTAGGGACCTTAGATTGTACACCCCTTGAGGGTTAGGGACTGATGTGAATGTACAATATATATGTAAAGTGCTGTGTAAATTGACAGCTATATAAGTACCTGAAATAAATAAAAAGAAATATATGTGATGCTGAGCCTCTATGATTGAAAGAACTGAAATCCAATGAATGAAAGAGATAGGCCAGGGATAGTTAGGCTGGGGGGGATAGATGATGCTGGACCAGGGGTGGACTGACCATTCGGGAACTCGGGCACTGCCCGAGGGCCCGGGATCAGTAGGGGGCCCCATGAGATGCCCTGGTACCTTTTCATAGGCTTTTTTGGGTGTGGTTTGAGTGTGGGCGAGGATACAGGGGCCCCATGATCCCCTGTTGCACAGGAGCCCCATGAGTTGTCAGTCCACCCCTGTGCTGGACGTAGAAGAAATGAGACAAACTCTTTCTGACTTACTGCAGCTTCTAATGTATATTATGAGAGGCTCACAGTGTGCAGTGAAATCAGAGTAAGTAATTTCAGTCCAGGAGAGGAACCGCTACAACTGTGCAAGACTGAAGGGAAGGCTGGAGGTCAGCTTTAAAAATCCAGCCAATTTACAATATCGATTGCTAATTACATCTACTTCCTAGAACAGCTCATTGTCCGATTCCCCGTGTATGGTAGAAGTGTCTCTCAGAGGAGTGCTAATCAGGCTTTGTCATTAGATGTGAGCATTGAGCCTTGTGCTGCACATTGTTTTCTGATTATTGGCAATTACACATACAGTCATCCAGCTACGATCACTGCGGTGCACAAACACGGCGCACTGTGGAAATATCGCCAGGGGTGGGAGTGAGCAATTATCTGAAGTGGCAGAAAAACAGATGGTGATTCCCTTGAAGTTTTTATTTAAAGTGATGCTCCACCATTTGTTACAGAACAACTGTACAAAGGCAAGTAGGGCATGTATTTATGAGCTGAATTCAACCATTTGTCCATATAGACTCATCAATCAGGGC